TGCGGGCCCTTCCTCGTTGAAGCACAGGTCTCCCCTGTTAGATTCGGCGTATGCCTGCCAGCTACCTAGAATATTCACAACGCCTTAAATGTCCAACTTCTGAAGCCCTACAGAGATCCCAACATGATCTTCACAGGACGCCAACCGCCGCCGCCCCCCCCGCCCGTCCTCGTCCATGATGAACCCGAGTGCGAGGTCGAGTTTGTGCTTGCACACTCTCGTCGTCGGAATGACCCCTTTGAGCTTCTCATCCGTTGGAAGGGTTATGATCCTTCTAAGGATAGCTGGGTCCCTGAATCTGCTATGGGTAACGCCCGTCGTCCTCTTCGCGACTACCTTGTCAAGCACCAGCTTTGAGGGGGGGGGAGTGTGAGAGTACGACCCCGTTACACTTCTTTCTCATTTCCATATTTCTCCGCTATCTCGTTCTTCTTTTTCTCCTGATTAATTCGGTCTTCATCTTGTCTGATTTGGTTACCAATTCCTCATTTTCCATTATCCTTTGGGTTATCCTGCTATTATAATTATTTTATCTGGCAGGCTCGGGATGTACCGGTGCGCTATATCTAGTGCAATCCTGTCATAATCCCTTTGGATATGATAAACATGGTTACCTGATATACCTTGGAAGTATTATTGCGCCTTGAATCAATTGATAGGGAAAATTTTCGTCGATCAATTCGATACTGTGACACCTAAGATCCCTAGAACAACCAGTCACAATGCGCTGCGTCACAACGCTGCGCGGTGCCATTCTTGGAAAAGATAGAAGGACTTAAGCACATTTCAGGAGTATCGCGTAACTGTAACGAATACGCGATTGACACAACATCGAAGATTACCGAGTCAAGACCGCTACAGTATCCCTGACGGTTGACGTAGTCTGACGACACCTCGCAGAGGTTGCGAAAGGGCAACGGTCGCAGACCATTGACCTCGCAACTCAACAGTCAAAAGTACAAGATTCAAGTCAGCACGACAGCAAGCACAAATAACCGTCCCGGTATTACAGTACGGGTGGTTACCCGAGTCGCTCTTATCGAGACGTAAAGGGAATGTACCCCTCGAAGTGCATAATCAGTTAGACTCTTCGTATTCTCCTGTATTATTAAATAAACCCTTGTATCCCTTTGCTATAATCAATCACTTGTTCTTACATACTGTACCAGTACAACCGTGTTATCAAGCATTCTGTTACAAGGACTTTCGTTTTCTGAAAAGATCCTTGGGCTTTTCTCAGCCCAACAGCCATAATGTTGCGCTGTCCCAAACCGTGGCAAAGCTACGCTTTGCGAAGTCAATGATGGCAGGAGGAAAAGCTGTCCCTGCGCACATGTCTAGGTTTCCTAACTACGCATGTGACAATGGTAGGTGCTCAGGGTCTAACAAGTTCGTTGCGTACACATTTGCACTGCTACACAAATGTGGTCAGGTAGCTCCAATGTCTCAATCGCATGCGTTTTCCGTAGTGGAGAAATTCGTGCACTTTTGTTTCGCAACGAATGTGCTCAGCTGCGCAATTGTTCCGCAACACCGGCGTTAGATGCAGTATTGCGGTTTTGCCGCTTTGCAGTTTCGACGCCTTTGCAGTTCGCCGCGCAGAACTTCGCTGCTCAGATTTTCGCGAACCTGAACTTCGCCGACTTGAGCTTCGCCAACTTGGACTTTGCCGTTGTACTGCAAGTTTGCCGATCACACCTGCTGCTTGAACTGCGTTGCAATGCGACGCTCCCCAGTTCGTCATGCCAACCAGAACCAGGTGCGCACGGGTGTTGTGCACGACGAGGTGCCCACTCATGCGAGGGCGGGGCTTTCTCGTCAACACCGTAGGTGTACTAGGCGTTAAGGCAACAGCATGAGCAGCAGGAGCAGAAGGAGGCACAGGAGCCGCAGGAGAAACAGGAGCTGCAGGAGCTCCAGGAGAGGCAAGAGGAGCAGGAACGGCTGGAGGCACAGGAGCTACAGGAGTAGCAGGGAAGGATGTAGCAGCAATGCCAGCCCTGCCTGTGCCCATAGACGTGCTTGTCCCGCCTGGCATTGCAGTGGTGGTCATCTCAAGCCCCAATGCGGGCGGCAAGACCGCCGCCCGCAAGACCCTTGGGATTGCCACACTCATGGCTAAAGTCAGGCTTTTCCTGCCACTGACAAGGGGGCGAGGCAGAGGAGGGGAGCAGGGCGGGGAGGGAGGAATGGAGGGGATGCAGGGAATAGGAGCAGAGGGGGGGAGGGAGGAGGGAGGAGAGGAAGAATAAGCAGACCAGAGTGGAGGCAGACAGGGTGAGGGGGCAGTGGATCCGAGCGGAAAGAGCGGTGTGAATGGGTGTGTGGCGGTGCTACCATGGTTTGACCGGGTGGTGGATGACATCGGTGACGAGCAGTCGTTGGAGCAGAGCTTGTCCACCTTCAGCGCCCACATGCACCGCGTCTCACACATCCTTCTTGCTCCTTCCCCCTCATCCCCTTCTTCCTCCTCTTCTTCCTCCTCCTCTCTCATGCTCCTGGACGAGGTGGGCAGTGGCACGGATCCCTCAGAGGGTGCAGCGCTCGCATCTGCCCTCTTGAAACACCTGGCTGGTGCTGAAGGACTCACACTCACCACTACTCACTATGCCGACCTCAAGAAGCTCAAGGTGAGTCTCTGAGCAGCTTCAAGAAATGGATATATTCCCCATATAAAATCTGCGTGAACTGAGATTACTTTTGAAGCTCCTCAAAATTATGCCGACCTCAAGAAGCCCAGAGTGAGTGTTTGAGCATGTGGAAGTGGCAGAGACCAAGGTCTGAGGGGTCGTCACAGGTCTACGACCCCATCAACAACCCCCAACCAAGGTATGTGCCTCAAGAAGCTCAAGGTGAGTCTTTGAGTACAGTGTGTGGCTTCATGAACAGAGGTGGGCAGTGGCACGGACCCCTGAGAGGGTGCTGCATTCACAGCTGCCTTTTTGAAACATCTGGTGGGATGTGAAGTCCTCACATTCGCCACCACTCACTACGCCGACCTCAAGAAGCTCAAGATATGATAAACTGCGGCTGAATGACCGATTGGAGGGTCGCACTGTGACACCAGGCGCATACCAATGGTGGCTCACACTGGCTTCCACCCAGCAACACCCCCTTCCCACCCCTTGTCTTCTTTCCTTGCAGCCCACTGATTCCTGTTTTGAGAACGCAAGTGTGGCGTTCGACCGAGTCTCCCTACCCCCGTCATTCAACGTACTCTGGGGACTTCATGGCACCTCCCATCCCAACTCCCTCATGCCCCTCTCCCTCTCACCACCCTCCCAGCACCCCCTTCCCACCCCTTCTCTTCTTCCGTTGCAGTCCACCGACCCCCGCTTTGAGAATGCGAGCGTGGTGTTCGACCGAGTCTCCCTGCCCCCGTCATTCAACATACTCTGCGGTCTCCCTGGCACCTCCCATCCCCCCTCCCTCATGCCCCTCTCCCTCTCACCACCCTCCCAACACCCCCTTCCCACCCCTTCTCTTCTTCCCTTGCAGTCCTCCGACCCCCGCCTTTGAGAATGCAAGTGCGGCGTTTGACCGAGTCCCCCTGCGCCCCTCCGTCAACATCCTCTGGGGTCGCCCCGGCACCTCCCACGCTCTCTCCCTCGCTGCTTCCCACGGTCTTCCCCCCCCCCTCCTCACCAGAGCCGCCAGGCTGGCTCGTGAGACAAGTAAGAAGGAGGAGCGGGAGGAGGGAGGGGAGGGAGAGTGAGAAGGAGTATGCCGCCATGGGAGGGGGGAGGGGAGAGGGTGAGGAGCTGGGAATACTGGCGTCCCTGCAGCAGCAATGGCAGTCGAATGTGGAGGCTGCAGGGGAAGCAGCAGAGGCCAGGCGAGACTCAGAGAGGCTTCTCAACGACTTCCCAGCCCAACATACCACGAAGGACCAGAAAAACAGGCAGAAAGAGCAGTCTTTGGCGCTTCGAGAGCTGCAGTGGTAGCGGCGGTACCAGAGAGACAGGAGGAGGAGGTGCTAGCAGCGAGGGAGGAGATCTCTAGTGTCGTTGCCTCCTTCCAGGAGGTTTCCCTTGCTGGTGTGCCGGAGCGAGCAGCAACCGACCGGGCCTGTGCTGACCTGGCAGCAGCGGCAGGACTGACCGTGATCTTTCCTGAACCTGATTCTGCCCCAGGTTCGGGTGCTCCAGTTGGTGGTCTGGAGGCTCGGCAGATACAAGAGGAGCGGATTGGGTCCCTGCTGTGGGGGAGGGGGTGTATGTGAGGGTTTGGCAGCAGTATGCGTGGTACAGTGGTGGCAATGGGCTGTGGTCCAGAGAAGGCTCGGGAGAGGGTTCAGGCTCGGCACCAGCGGCTCGGCTGGTGACTGTACAGCTAGGGAATCTGAGATTGCGAGTGCAGAGAGGAGACCTGCTTCCTGCAGAAGCTGATAATAATGCTGGTGGTGGTGCTGGGCCACAGACCATGGCTGATGGAGAGGCAGCAGGAAGGAGAGGGGCACAGGATGTTTGATGGCCGTTGGGAGCAAGACGACGATGGCATCGATGGTAGCAGTAACACGAATGGCAACAGCGCCTCAAAGCGAGGGGGTCGATTCCCATCCCCATCTTCCCTCTCCTCAACTTTATCGTCTTCGTCTCTGCCAGCAGTGAGGGAAGCAGCAGTGCAGACAGCATGCAACACAGTGGACGTTAGGGGCAGTGCAGTCTAGGCTGCCTGGTGTTGCAAATCCCGCTAGGGCAGGAGTGTTGAGGATGCCCTAGCGGAAGTGGACCTGCAGTGCAGTCTAGGCCGCCTGGTGCCGTGCTGTTCATTGACCATGGACTCGGGACGGGCGTGCTTCGGGCAGCTGTGCTGAAATATCTCTCGGGCAGCCCGCTGGTTTTGCGGCACGGGCCTGAGAGTAGGCTGAATATCGGGTGTACTATCGCCTATATCGGGGGATAGGGTTACATTGTCAAAGCTATTGTAGCAGTGATGGGGGAAGATAGCAAGAGTATCTGTGCAGTTTCTCCTGTATGGCACTCTTGGTCTAGAGAAATGGACATGCAGAGGCAGAGATGCCAACAAAACCTGGAATAAATAATGGCACCATGTATACAGGTGGTACGGTCACATCCTGACATGCTCCTAAACGCTGTAGAGTTGAGGCAATAGCCTTAACCGGCTGGAGCCTAAAAGCAGGGTCTTCACGTGGCCAGGGACAGAGGTCATCCCTGTAACATGTGAGGCTGCCAGGACGAACCAAACCTTGCCCTTGCCTGGCTGAACCCCCGTGTCCATCCATCACATTTCGACCAATGACCCACTACACGCTCCCAGCCGTAGCATCAGCCGCACCACTAGCAGCCAGGACAGCACCGCACAGCACCCATGCCCTTACTGCAAGAGCAGCAAGCACTCACCCTCTCCCCCTTTAGCGCGAGAGCGGCTGCACCACGAGGGGGGACCGCACGCTGTGGCCCTGGTCATCCGCCCACACTATATACCCGTACTTGAAGTCCTTGCTGGGTGTATCCACGGTGAGCGTCAGAGTATAACTCGCCTTCTGCCCGGCACCAACCGTGAGGCTCTTAGGCGCCACTGTCACCTTCACCCCTGCTGGCGCCTTCCCAGATACACTGTATGTGGACTGGGCCCCTCCCACATTGGTGACCGTGCGAGTCACCTGAATCGAGCCCTGCAGGCGCGGCAGAGTGATGGTGGGAAGGTTGAGATTGCGCACAGCCAGGGGGGAGAGCGACACCCCTGGGAACTCCTTTTTCGCCCGGGTCAGATCCTGCCCGGCCAGGAAATTCTGGTAGTCTTTGTCTCGGGCGTCGTAGGTGAGGCCGGGGTTGAGCATGGCAGGGGGGAACACATGGCCTGCCCCCATCTCCCAGGGGGTGGCATCCCCGCCAGTGGAGCTCTTGATGGGGCTGCTGCTCGTGTCAGTCACCCGCGCCGTCGTCATCATCGCCGACATCACCTGCGCCGGGCTCCAGTTGGGGAATTTCTGGATAATTAACGCGGCCAGCCCCGCCAAATGAGGGGTGGCCATGGAAGTACCCGAGAGGCGGGCGAGGGCGCCGGGGTCGCCGACTTTCTTCCCAGGAGCAGCGGCTAGGAGGTCCACGCCGGGGCCGATGATGTCGGGCTTGAGGATGGCGTTGCCTGGTTGGGGGGGCTGGGCCGTGGCAGAGGGCGGTATGAGGGGGCCGCGGGACGAGAAGTCAGCAACCACCGGGGCGGAGGAGGAGGAGGTGGCGAAGGTGATACCTCCGTCGGCAGTGAAAGTGGTGCCGCTGCCATCACCTGGCATGGTGCCGTTGCCTGTGCTGTTGCCGCTGCCAGTGCCGTTGCAGTTGACAGTGCTGTTGGTGCTGGCGGCGCCGGCAATGGCGTTGAGGGGGAGCGACTGAGTGCCGGCTGCTGCTGCGGCCGAAGCTAGGGACGCTCCCCGTGCGATGGTGCTGGCGCCCACAGTCAGAAAGAAGGGTGCGAAGTTGTCCACCGTGCGGTAACCACCCCCCTGCGACTGGCCCGGAGCGCCAGAATTACCAGCAGCAAAGGCAACGAACACCCCGGCAGCGTTGGCCCGCATAAAAGCCAGGTCGTTGAAATAGTTGTCGTTGGGATCCATGCCCCCCAGGGACAGCGACAGCACATCCACGCCGTCCGCCACGCCCTGATTGACGGCTGCGATGATGTCTGACTCGTCCGCATACATTTCCCCGCTGCTGCGGTCCGTCCAGAACACCTTGTACGCCGCGATCCGCGCGGCCGGCGCCATGCCGCTCACCTGCCCGCCGCCCTGCAGCCCCACCGGGCTCCCCGCCGCCGCGCCCGCGCACCACGTGCCATGCCCGTCCGCGTCTCGTGGCGTGAGCCAGTCGTTCGCCAGCGCGGGCTTGCCGCTGGCCCGCTGAAACCCGGTGTAGAACGCCTTGGCGCCGATCACCTTGTTGTTGCATCGGAACGAGTTGGACTGCTCGCATTTACCCTTCCACCCAGAGGGGAAGTTCGAACTAAACCCCTTGTCGGAGAACGAGGGGTGTTCGGGCCAGATGCCCGTGTCGATGATCCCCACCACCGTGCCGTCGCCCGCCTTGCTCTGTCCGCCCACGGCGGGCCACACCTTTCCGGGGAGCCCCAGGAACTTGGGCGAGTCGCTGGTCCGCCGCTGGAACACGCGGCTGCGGCGCACGGACGCCACGGCGGGATGGCGCTGCAGGCGCCACGCCTGGCGCGGGGTGAGGCGCGCGGCGAAGCCGTTGGACGTGTGCTTGAAGCTGTACAGCAGGTCGCCGTCGCCCACGCCCGCCTCAGATGCCACCTGCGCCTGCTGCCGCTGCAGCAGCGACGCGAACGCTGCCACCTGGGGGCGGTCCATGCTCAGATGCAGCCTGTGCCGCGCGCAACCTCCGCTGCCGCTGCTGCTACCACCATTCCCACGACCACCGCGTGCGCTGGAAGTCGAACTGGTTTCAGGCGCCGCATCTGCTGGCGCTGGCGCAGTTGCGTTGGGGAAGTGCTGATCGGCGTTGTCGTCCAAGTCGACGGACTCGGGCTCTGACTCGGATTCGCCGCCTGCTGCGCCGGAATCGTCGGCCGCGAGAAGCATCTCCGGCACGCGGTCGTCGTCGTTCTCCTCCTCGTCGCTGCCGTCTTCCCACGTGGCAGTGGCGGGGTACCCCGCGATTCCGCCGCGGTACTCGGAGAGGGGAGGCGCCGTGCTCAGGCGCACGATGTACACGGCTGAATCCGCGGCAGTTGGAGTCTGGAATTTTCCCGCGTTTCCTCTAGCGGGCGCCGCGAAATTCTGGGAATTGACACCATTGCGCCACTGGCGTGGTGCGCCTCTGGATGGCTGCGCTGCTAACAGAAACGCGCCGAGGATCAGCAGCAACGCGATTACGGGGCTGTGCCTCATGGTGGGACGCGACTGGGTATGGCTCGCGGTACCTTCTATCAGTGGCGGTTGTCTCGCGTGGATGTGTGGCTTGTCTCGTGTAGGTGCAGTGCAAGTCGCGGTGAATTGCCTTTGCTAGTTTGTGAGCTGAGCTGATGTTGGGCAATTTGCGGATAGCTGCGTTTATGTGCAGCCCACTTCCAGATGTGCCGCCCCACATTTGGAAGGTGGCATGTGTCGCACCGCGATGCAGGTGCGGGGATGCTCAGAAATGCGGCGCGTGTCCGAGGGGCAAAAGGGTGAGAGGGGAGCGTAGCGTACACGGGACGGGACGCGACGAAGCGACGGCGGTTACGGACCAGTCCATTGGTAGCGAAGGGATACTGGTTACCGTATCGAGCTAACTACAAAACCAATCCCTCTTTTCGTCAATGCCTTATGGGGGTGGTGTAGTGGGCCAAGCCAAGGGGATCTCGCGAAAGTCGCGGAAGTCAACCCTGGGTCCAGATTCTTGCTGACGAAGATTTCCTGACTTGAACATAGTCGCGAGGTTAAAGCCGTTGACCCAAATTGCAGAAATTTCGTTTCAAGATTATTAATCTTGAACCCTCCCGATTGGTAACCTTGTTTCCCAAAGCGAGAGCAGAAACCTTCGTCGCACACCAAAAGGGGGCTGAAAATTTTAACGCGTGCGCCACCCCCTGCCGATTCCGCCCCCGCCCCCGACACACAGGGCATTTGCACGCAATGAAACTTGAAACTGCGCGCATACATTTTGGGACTTTCTGTTGTGCACAACCCAGCCCAGCGTCACCACGCCCAAGGCAGCGCACGCAGCACACACAGCTTACCACCTCTGTGCACCACCGAGTGCCCAAGACACGCGAAGGGCCTCGACGATACGCCAAAGATAGACTACCTTCCACCAAGAGTCAGACCCATCACCACTAGCCCCGCCTTAGCATTCCCGTGAATGCCATGTAAGGACCGTCAAATCGCACCGTCGCTAACACCCGCAGTACCCTGCGATTTCTACCCTCATACCATAAAAAATGGTCGCCGAAATCCGCGCCACTAACAGCCCGAGACCCTGCAGCAGAAACGCGTGCGACAAGCTCGAGCAGTGCGACGAGGGAGTTAGGGTTAGTGACATGCATGAAAGGTACCCACAGCCCATGTGGTTTCATTACTCATTCTCCCTCGTGCTTTTCAGTCTGCCTAGGAGCGGAGGAGCAGAGGAGCGGAGGAGGAGAGGAGCGGAGGAGCAGAGGAGCGGAGTAGCAGAGGAGCGGCGGAGGAGAGGAGCGGAGTAGCAGAGGAGCGGAGGAGAAGAGGAGGGGCGGAGCAGAGGAGCGGAGGAGGAGAGGAGCGGCGGAGCAGAGGAGCGTCGGAGCAGAGGCGCGGGGGAAGAGAGGAGCGGAGGAGGCGAGGAGTGTCGGAGGAGATGAGCAGAGGGGCAGAGGAGCGGAGGAACAGAGGAGCGGAGGAGTATGGTGAGCAGAGGGGCAGAGGAGCGGAGGAGCATAGGAGCGGAGGAGCAGAGGAGCTGCGGAGCGGAGGAGCGGAAGTGGAGAGGAGCGGGAGGAGCAGAGGAGCGGAGTAGCAGAGGAGCGGAGGAGGAGAGGAGCGGCGGAGGAGCAGAGGAGCGGAGGAGGAGAGGAGGGGCGGAGCAGAGGAACAGAGGGGCAGAGGAGCGGGAGGAAGAGAGGAGCGGAGTAGCAGAGGAGCGGAGGAGGTGAGGAGCGGCGGAGAAGTAGAGGCGCGGGGGAGCAGAGGAGCGGAGGAGTGGAGGGGCAGAGGAGCGGAGGAGGAGAGGAGCGGAGGAGAGGAGGAGCAGAGGGGGAGAGGAGCGGAGGAGGAGAGGAGCGGCGGAGCAGAGGAGCGGCAGAGCAGAGAAGCGGAGGAGGAGAGGAGCAGAGGAGGAGAGGAGCGTCGGAGGAGAGGAGCAGAGGGGCAGAGGAGCGGCGGAGGAGAGGAGCGGCGGAAGAGAGGGGCGGAGGAGGAGAGGAGCGGCGAAGCAGAGGAGCGGCGGAGCAGACAAGCGGAGGAGGAGAGGAGTGGAGGAGGAGAGGAGCGTCGGAGAAGAGGAGCAGAGGGGTAGAGGAGCGGAGGAGCAGAGGAGCGGAGGAGCAGAGGAGCGTAGGAGGAGAGGAGCGGAGGAGCAGAGGAGCGGCGGAGGAGAGGAGCGGAGGAGGAGAGGAGCCGAGGAGCAGAGGAGCGGCGGAGGAGAGGAGCGGAGGAGGAGAGGAGCAGAGGGGCAGAGGAGTGGAGGAGCAGCGGAGCGGAGGAGTAGAGGATCGGAGGAGGAGAGGAGCGGAGGAACTTGGGCTGACTGCATGGGAGGATGGAGGGTGCCTAGACATTGGAATTTGAGCAGTCTGCAGGGTGAACATAGGGTGGCTGGAGGGGGGATGTGGGGAGAATGGTCAAGGGAGAATGACAGGGGGTAGGCAAGTTGGGGGAAGGTGGGAGACACGGGGAGGACGAACGCACAATGTACGGGAGGAGCCATGGCTTCCTACGGGTGTGTTTGGGGCTTCCCCTCTTGACTGCACTAAGAGCCGTGTTTGTTATTCTATAATTCGGCTGCCGACAACATATTACAAGTACCAGGGTCAATGGACCTTGCACATTGTTGGCACACCATGCCAGGTTCAGTAGGTTTGGAGAAGGCACAACCAGGAACACAAGACTCATATGCATAAATACTCTAGGCAGAAGGGGGCTAGCTGAAACCATCAGCCACAAGAGTGGCCATTGGACATACGTGTTGCACGGCCTCATGGCCATGTTTACTGATTGATTACCCAACAAGCATCCTAAAACCATGTTTATTGTAACACTCAACAACTCAAGACCCATATGGCTAGCGGATACCGTCCCCAACCACCGATGACCCCAGCTGTGTCACCTCCGCCTACGATCTTGAGTCGCCCAACCGTTACCACGCGCAAGTTGGGGGCGCAACCTGCCGCAAGAAAACCAAACAAAGACCCCTTGAATGAACCTCAATCCCATAAAGCATAGTCGACTGCACTAGCGTTGTACGTGACGAGGCGGTCAATGGTATCGGATTCCGAAAATTAAATCAATGAGTTGTTTTACACCACGTAACCCAGGGTCAGGCAGCTACTGTAATAAAAGTGATCACAATTCGTGATATGATACGGCAGACTCTGGCAGGCCGTCCGACACTCAGACCCCCCCACCTAGCTCCTCCCCTCAAAGCTGTCCCCCTCACGTCCATCCCCTTCGGTGTTTTCCCCATTGTTGCTCTACCCTTCCCAACGTTGCCCCACCCAGCTCTCCCCTTCTTAGCACACCCCCTCTCAGCAATACCCCTGCTGTGCTTCTCCCAAAGCAGTCTTCACCATCTCTTAGCTCTCCCCTGCCCATCTATGCTCCACCACTCAGCACTCCCCCTCCTAGCTCTCACCCTCCTAGCTCCCCCCCTCCTAGCTCACCCCCTCGCAGCTTACCCCCTCGCAGCTTTCACCCTCTCAGCTCTCCCACTCTCGGCTCACCCACTCTCTGTTGTCCCCCTCTCATCTTTCCCCCTCTCATCTTTCCCCCTCTCATCTTTCCCCCTCTCATCTTTCCCCCTCTCATCTTTCCCCCTCTCATCTTTCCCTCTCTCTTCTTTCCCCCTCTCATCTTTCCCCCTCTCATTTGCAGAGTTTCCTGCTATAACGGGAGCTTCTGCGGAAGTGCCTGACGCACACAAATTTACTAGAATCAAGATTACAAAGTATGGTACACAAGGCAAACACTAGTACTACCCTATTGAACCTCATTGAACACGGCGAGAACGTTCGCACGAGAACGTTTACATAACTACTTGAAGCTGCGCTTAGCCAAGTCAGCAATGGCAGGTGAAAATTACAGCACATGCTTAGTCGGTAATTTTTACCCACTTAGAAGTAGTTGTTTTAACAGTTTCAGATATGAAACTGTCAGATGTTACGCACATTTCCGCAATTACGAAATGTGCGTCACGTGTTCAATTTCTCAATGTCGCAGGTAGATTTTGCCGTTTTGGTCCAGATCGGTTCTGAGGTTAACTTACGAAATCGCGAATTTCTCGCGATTTCGGAACCTACCTTCGCAGAAAAAATAATTCCTTGTTATTTCTGTCGAAGGGTCGCTCGCAGAAGTGAAGTCCGAGATGACTCTCTTGCTGCACTTCTGCCGATTTTCATTTCTGCCGAGGGGGTCGTCACAGAAGAGATACTGTAGCCGTATTGCATTTCTCCCGAACTCCCGCAGAACGTAATTTTGCACGAACAGGTTCTTACGCCACTCTGCCCGAGGTCCTGCCGGAACGCATTTCTGTAGAGTCGCTTCTGCCGAAAGGGTCGCCCGCAGAAATGTCTTCTGCGCGATACTTCTGCAGAGGACAAACCTTCTGCGAATGGCCCCTGGTGCCAATTCCGCAGAGGGTCTTGTACACTCTCGATTCTGCTGCGACCGCTTCTACAGAAGCCCAGAAATCCGTAGAAGCCATCCGTAGAAAAAACTCTTCTGCCACTTCCCGCAGAGCCTCGCCTTGTCGACAAATCTGCTCTTCGTCGATGGGCCTTTCTGCAGGGCTCGTGTCCGCAGACTTCGTTGATACGCTGCTTCCGCAGACTTCTGCAACCTTCGCAGGATCAGGGCTATTCTTTCTCCCTCTCATCTTTCCCCCTCTCATCTTTCCCCCTCTCATCTTTCCCCCTCTCATCTTTCCCCCTCTCATCTTTCCCTCTCTCATCTTTCGCCCTCTCATCTTTCACCCTCTTAGCGTTCCCCCTCTTAGCTTTCCGCCTCTCAGCTTTCACCCACTTAGCTTTCCCCCTCTCAGCAATACCCTCTCAGCTCTCCCGCTCTCAGCTCCCCCCCTCGCAGCTTACCCCCTCGCATCTTTCACCCTCTCAGCTCTCCCACTCTCGGCTCACCCACTCTCTGTTGTCCCCCTCTCATCTTTCCCCCTCTCATCTTTCCCCCTCTCATCTTTCCCCCTCTCATCTTTTGCGCTCTCATCTTTCACCCTCTTAGCTTTCCCCCTCTTAGCTCTCCGCCTCTCAGCTTTCACCCACTTAGCTTTCCCCCTCTCAGCAATACCCTCTCAGCTCTCCCACTCTCAGCTCCCCCCCTCGCAGCTTACCCCCTCGCAGCTTTCACCCTCTCAGATCTCCCACTCTCGGCTCACCCACTCTCTGTTGTCCCCCTCTCATCTTTCCCCCTCTCATCTTTCCCCCTCTCATCTTTCCCCCTCTCATCTTTCCCCCTCTCATCTTTCCCCCTCTCATCTTTCCCCCTCTCATCTTTCGCCCTCTCATCTTTCACCCTCTTAGCTTTCCCCCTCTTAGCTTTCCGCCTCTCAGCTTTCACCCACTTAGCTTTCCCCCTCTCAGCAATACCCTCTCAGCTCTCCCACTCTCAGCTCCCCCCCTCGCAGCTTACCCCCTCGCAGATTTCACCCTCTCAGCTCTCCCACTCTCGGCTCACCCACTCTCTGTTGTCCCCCTCTCATCTTTCCCCCTCTCATCTTTCCCCCTCTCATCTTTCCCCCTCTCATCTTTCCCCCTCTCATCTTTCCCTCTCTCATCTTTCACCCTCTCATCTTTCACCCTCTTAGCATTCCCCCTCTTAGCTTTCCGCCTCTCAGCTTTCACCCACTTAGCTTTCCCCCTCTCAGCAATACCCTCTCAGCTCTCCCGCTCTCAGCTCCCCCCCTCGCAGCTTACCCCCTCGCATCTTTCACCCTCTCAGCTCTCCCACTCTCGGCTCACCCACTCTCTGTTGTCCCCCTCTCATCTTTCCCCCTCTCATCTTTCCCCCTCTCATCTTTCCCCCTCATCTTTCCCCCTCTCATCTTTCCCCCTCTCATCTTTCACCCTCTTAGCTTTTCCCCAACTTAGCTTTCCGCCTCTCAGCTTTCACCCACTTAGCTTTCCCCCTCTCAGCAATACCCTCTCAGCTCTCCCACTCTCAGCTCCCCCCCTCGCAGCTTCCCCCCTCTCAGCTACCCCCCTCTCAGCTTCCCCCCTCTCAGCTTTCCCCCTCTCTGCTCTCCCCCTCTCAGCTCACCCCCTCTCTACTTTCCTCCTCTCAGTTCTCCCTTTCCCATCTTTGCCCCACTCAGCTTTCCCCCTCTTAGCTCAACCTCTCCCAACTTTCTTCTCCCCAGCTTTCCCACCCCCCCACTTGGCATTCCACCCGTCAGTTGTCCCGCCCTTTCCTTTTCCCGTCTGTGCTACACCCCGCCCTCCATCTAGGCAAGCGCATTTGGTAGCAAGGCTACTACTTACCGGTGGCAACCACTGCAGGGGTTGAATCAGCCATGGTGGCGCAACGGTGACCCGGTGGCATCGCACCATTCAGCGCACTTTGGCAATCCCTTTGCATGGGAGCGGGGAGGGGTGGGGCATGTGGAAGTGGGCATTGTGCCTTAGGTGTAGCAGTTTGGAGAACAATCCTAGACTCTCGAATGGTTGGGCGCAATGGTGGCAAATGTGCGGACGTGCATGGGAGGAAGTGTGATGGTGCGGCAAAATGCATGGCAAACAGAATACGATTAAGGTACACTCGACCAACCAATGAGGAGTCGTCGGGCTGGCGCATCTCTTCGGATGGGCGTAGGGGTGCCAACCCCTGTCATACCACTGCCGCATCCGAGGGAGTCAATGCAGCCGGGGTTGAAATGCAGCGTGAGATCTCTCATAGGCGTCGAGTCACCGGAGGCGGCTGGTCCAGCAACGGTGCATGGGCGCACCACCCGGATGTTCTCGGTGAGACAGTTATCCCCGGCTGCCTCATCTCCGCCCTCCTCCACCCCGTCATCAGCCTCCTCAGGGTCCTCCTCAGGGTCCTCCTCACCCGCCCGCAACCACTGCTGCATGATCTCTTCTACCCAAGACCAATCCATGGGCCCCAAGATACGAACTGCCGAGCCCCGTTGAACCCGTGTCGCCCGCCTCACCCGTATGCGATACCCCTTCACGAGGCGGTCCACACAACTGTTCCAGTGCAAAACTGCTAATGCAACTCGTGCCACCATACTACCACGAAACCGCAACCGTTACGGAGCATACTTGCACACCAACGAATGAAATGATTCATTGAGTGAGCTGTTCGCTCCTCGGATGAAAGGCGCCACCTGTGCTGGCCCTAGCCTCTTCTCGAACCACGCGGACACTGCCTTGTGTGCTGCTGACCCCTTTGCATAAATAGCACTCTCCTCTCCCCACCCCTCGGAAATACAGCGGGGCGGAGTCGTTCCCGGGCGCTGGCAGTGGGAATGATCCCCCACCCAATGATCCGCTGCACAACCCAACTCCCCTAACACCTCCTCCTGGGTCATGGGCGTACCATTGGACACACTTGCAGCACACCACAGAATGACATGCCTGAAATGCGTTCGAAGTCGCTGCGCGACGGTGAACTCGAGGAATTTTGTACTGACCCTTTTCTCGGGCTGACCCGCCCCGCGCTCCAAATTGGATGTACGTTTTTTCGCACTGCACGCTGACCATTGCCGTTTCTTTGTGCTCAAGGTGGTAGCAGGGCCTGCACAACCATAGTATATGTAAAGTGTAAAAAAGATGCTAGAAACATACATGCCAAAATACGACATGTGGGGGTTACCAGAACTATGCAAGCTCGGCTACCTGTTGAGGGGGTTGATTCCGGTGCCGGATTGAAGCAATGACCCATGAAATCACGCTCTTCTCGACCGCCACTGCATGCGACAGCAACCACGAGTGATGCTTCCGAGGACGGGCGAAAACCGTGCCGGGGGTGGATGTCATAGCTCCACAACTCAGCCACGTCTGCCCAGCACACATCCATCGACATCGAACCCTTGGCTGACCCCTCCACACACTCCCCCTCCGCCTGCGGTCCATCTCGTGATACGGGATCAGTGCTGTCCTGTATGGAGTGTATCACCAAGAACAGCACTGGCACATCCACCATCTCTGTGTCCGCGCCGTCCTCTCCTTCGATCTCCTGTGTTGCCCCTCCCCCCCACCCCCCTGCGCTCACCACTTGGCGCAACTCCGGGTGCATGTATTTTGCATCTGCGGGCTTCACTACACGATACTCGACATGGAGCACCGTGCACACCGCTGCAATCAGCCCTTCTTTCCAAATCATCCCACAGACCTGTTCAGGTGCATTGTCAAGCAGCCATGCGCGGAGTTTGGACACCGTGTGCGCATGTAGATCTTCCACGACCTTGGCGTCAGCGATTGCAACCACTGGCCTGAGCAAGTCCTGCACTTCGACCTCAAAACACCTCGACACCGAACGCCGCTTATGCCACCAATCGACTTGGTGCGGAACCCCTCTCTCTGCTGTGGCGGTCCGGAAAGTCCCGATACCCTCCATCTCAAACCCGGTCTTGGCTAGGAAGTCCATGCCGTTATTGAAGGCGATACCCTCCAACTTGGGAGAGGAAGGGTCGTGCTCCCACTTTTTAGTGTTTTCAACATGGAGAATCTTCCGACACTCTGGATGCAGAAATGACACGGTGCACCACTCCGCTTCCCGTGCCTGGGACCATCTCCCATCAACACTGATGAATCCCACGCCACCCAAGCGCTGCGACAGGCTTTCACGCACGCTGGCCATCGACCTGCTAGCAGCTGTGGTGATGGCATTCCATAAGCCCCCCTTCCCCCGTAATAGACGATAGAAGGTACTCTTCACTGGGTTGCATAACCCAAGGTTTCGACAGACTTCCCACATGACTTGATACCCTTGTCCAGCAAGGGCAAATGCCCCAACAAACTTGTACATGAGCGAGGATGTTCGTGGTCCCGGCTTTCTCAAGCTGGACAAGTGTTCCTTTTTTGGACTGGACCACATTTCCTTGCTTTTTGTACACTTATCGCAGTGCCAGTACCAACCGATGCATGCCCATGCGTCATTCCATGAGATCAAAGTCATAGTTCCCGTGCACGCCTTATCCGGGCAACACATTCGCAGGGTGGCAAGCTCAGTGAGCACGTGTTTTGCCTCCATTAGACATACCCGGTTTTCCGGGACATCATCAAGGGAGGGGCTTGCTGACCATCCCCTGGGAACTGGCACAGCCCGCGCTCGCTTTGCGCGTTTGGTTGAGCCCGACCTGCACAACGGGGGCATCGCGACATGTTGGTCGCAGCTCTCAGAAAGCACACTTATAGCCATGACATACAGCAGCCGGAGGAGCATAGCTCTTACAGTTCGGTCGGTGGCGTTGCATCATCAACAGTCCTGGTTGCATGGCTTGCCGGGCTGGCTTTCTTCGACGGTGGGGGCTGTGCTCCAGTGATGGGAGCATCCCTGGCTTGAGGGGGCCTGCTCTGCTCTCCATGGCCTGCTACCCTCAAAGGCAAAGCACCGCATGCACAAGGGGTCACAGACTCCAAAGGCTGGTGTAGGGAAGCATGGGAGCATGTGAGCGTGGGAGCATGGGAGCACGGGAGCATGGGAGCATGCGAGCAGGGGAGCACGGGAACGTGTGAGCATGGGAGCAGGGGAGCATGGGTGCACGAGAGCATTGGCAGCATGTGAGCATGGGAACATGGGAGCATGCTGAGCATGCGAGCATGGGGAGCACGAGAGCATCGGAGCATGGGAGCATGGGAACAGGGGAGCATGGGAGCAGGGGAGTATGGGAGCAAGGGAGCATGAGAGCATGGGAGCATGGGCCCATGGGATGGGAGCATGGGAGAAGTGGAGCATGGGAGCATGGGAGCATGGGAGCATGGGATGATGGGATCATTGGAGCACAGGCTCATGGGAGCATGGTGAGCTTGGGAGCATGGGAGCACAAGAGCATGGGAGCATGGGAGCACGGGCCCGTGGGAGCATGCTGGGCATGCGAGCATGGGGAGCACGAGAGCACTGGAGCATGGGAGCATGGTGAGCATGGGTGCTCGGCTGAATGGGAGTATGGGAGCACGGGAGCATGGTGAGCATGGGAGCTTTCCAGCACCGCAGCATGGGAGCTTGGGAGGACAGGAGCATGGGAGCATGGGGGCAATGGGTGGAGTAAGGGGAGCATGTGAGAAGGGGAGCAGGGGAGTATGGGAGCTGGGGAGCATGGGAGCAGGGGAGCATGGGAGCAGGGGAGCAGGGGAGCATGGGAGCATGGGAGCAGGGGAGCACGGAAGGATCCAAGTATGGGAGGATGGGAGCAAGCTCCCCTTTGAGCATGGGTGTAAGGGGAGCATGGATGCTTGGGAGGATGGGACCACGGGCCCATGGGAGCTTGGGAGTAAGGGGAGCACGGGAGCATAGGAGTATGGGAGGATGGGAGCACCGGAGCATGGGAGCATGGGAGCATGGGAGGAGCAGCGAGCTTGCACGACAGCCCATGCGCTGGTCTGCAGCCCCCCACCCCTAGCTCACCTCTTGAACGCTGACTCTCATACTTCTTCCCTCTCCGGGCCCCGCCCCACCCACATCCCTGCACGGGCCGTAGTTTCCCCTTCGTGCCCACTTCGTAGGAGGGAAAGTTGTAGGTGAGCCCTGTCAATTGGCGGTCTGCTTGCTCAATGATTTTGGATGCTGAGTCCGGTCCATGCTTGGCCCTTGCGTCAAACAGCTTTCCGTAAGCCTCGAGGTGCTGCTCCGCCCTAGCTCTAGCATCACCCCCATTCACACCTTAGTGGGTCAAGGGGCGCACAAGGGGTTGAAGAAGGGTTATGGCAGTGCAACGGCGAGCAAGTTTGACCGCTCATCACTCATGTCATGACAACCCCCGCTTACCAGCTTTAGAGCCAGCACGCATTAGCCGTTGGTGTGCCTTATAGGAGTTCATTATGTAGAAGTATAGCAAGTCCGCCATTGTCGCCTTCTTTGCTCCACCCATGAGCGCAGACAGTCCGCCTAGCTGGACACAGACTGCTGGCCTCAAGTGTTTTGAAACACCATGCATGGCTTTGTCATGCGCCTGGCCCAACGCTGCCGCCAGATGGTCCTTGTTTGGGTCTGCGGCTGCCTGACCCCTGCTGGGTTGCGTTTGATGGAGAGGTGGTTAGGGCGGGGGTTTGGGGCAGGCCTTGATAGGGGTGACACGGGGTGGTCATGTGGGAGATGCTTTCACACGCCACACCTCTCTTAACTCTTACCTCCCTGCCCCACCTTGACATACAAAAAGGCTAGCCTCAAACACATCTCGATGCCCATGCCTTGACTCCCCCCTCGGTTCCCACCCAGCCCACCTCCCTGCAGCACCTTGCCGCTCCTCTCGGCTGTACCCTTGCTCACCTCCATGCCCTGCCTAGGAGCTTCTCTCGGCTTCCACCTTGCTCACCTCCTTGGCCCACCTTGACACTCCTCTCAGCTCCCCCCTTACTCACCTCCCTGCCTCACCTTGACACTCCTACCTGCTTCCCCCCTGCTCCCCCCTCCGGCATCACCTTGACACTCGTCTATGCTCCCCCATTTCCCACCTCCCTGCCGCACCTTGACACTCCTCTCTGCTTTCACCCTGCTCCCCCCTCCTGCATCACCTTGACACTCTACTCTGCCTTCCCCCTTACTCCCCCCTCCTGCCTCACCTTGATGCTCCTCTCTGCTTCCCCCCTGCTCCCCCCTCCTGCACCACATTGACACTCGTCTATGCTCCCCCCTTGCCTGTCTCCATGCCTCATCTTAACACTCCTCTCTGCTTCCCCCCTGCTTCCCCATCCTGCATCACCTTGACACTCCTCTCAGCTACCTCCTTGCCAGCCTTCCTGCATCACTATGACACTCCTCTCTGCTTCCCCCCTGATCATCAGCCAAGCTTGCAAACCTTCAGCCAAACTCCCAAACCTTCAGCCAAACTTCCAAACCTTCAGCCAGACTTCCAAACTTTTAGCCAGACTTCCAAACCTTCAGCCAAACTTCCAAACCTTCAGTGAAGCTTCCAAACCTTCAGCCAAATTTCCAAACCTTCAGCCAAACTTCCAAACCTTCAGCCAAACTCCCAAACCTTCAGCCAAACTTCCAAACCTTCAGCCAGACTTCCAAACCTTCAGCCAAACTTCCAAACATTCAGCCAAACTTCCAAACCTTCAGCCAAACTCACAAACCTTCATCCAACGTTCCAAACCTACAGCCGAACTTCCAAAACGTCAGCCAAACTCCCAAACCTTCTGCCAGACTTCCAAAACTTCAGCCGAACTTCCAAAACTTCAGCCATACTCCCAAACCTTCAGCCAAACTCCCAAACCTTCAGCCAGACTTCCAAACCTTCAGCCAAACTCCCAAACCTTCAGCCAGACTCCCAAACCTTCAGCCAAACTTCCAAACCTTCAGCCAAAGTTCCAAACCTTCAGCCAAACTTCCAAACCTTCAGCCAAACTTCCAAACCTTCAGCCAAACTCCCAAACCTTCTGCCAGACTTCCAAAACTTCAGCCGAACTTCCAAAACTTCAGCCAGACTCCCAAAACTTCAGCCAAACCTCCAAACCTTCAGCCAAACTTCCAAACCATCAGGCAAACTTCCAAACCTTCAGCCAAACTTCCAAACCTTTAGCCAAACTTCCAAACCTTCAGCCAATCTTCCAAACCTTCAGCCAATCTTCCAAACCTTCAGCCAAACCCCCAAACCTTCACCCAAACTTCCAAACCTTCAGCCAAACTCCCAAACTTTCAGCCAGACTTCCAAACCTTCAGCCAAACTCCCAAACCTTTAGCCAGACTCCCAAACCTTCAGCCAAACTTCCAAACCTTCAGCCAAACTCGCAAACCTTCAGCCGAACTTCCAAACCTTCAGCCAAACTCCCAAACGTTCAGCCAGACTTCCAAACCTTCAGCCAAACTTCCAAACCTTCAGCCAAACTCCCAATCCTTCAGCCAGACTTCCAAACCCTCAGCCAAATTTCCAAGCCTTCAGCCAGATTTCCAAACCTTCAGCCAAACTTCCAAACCATCCGCCAGACTTCCAAACCTTCAGCCAAACTTCCAAACCCTCAGCCAAACTCACAAACCTTCAGCCGAACTTCCAAACCTTCAGCCAGACTTGCAAACCTTCAGCCAAACTTCCAAATCTTCAGCCAAACTTCCCAACCTTCACCCAAACTTCCAAACCTTCAGCCAAACTCCCAAACCTTCAGCCAGACGTCCAAACCTTCAGCCAAACTTCCAAACCTTCAGCCAAACTTCCCAACCTTCAGGCAAACTTCCAAACCTTCAGCCAAACTTCCAAACCTTTAGCCAAACTTCCAAACCTTCAGCCAATCTTCCAAACCTTCAGCCAAACCCCCAAACCTTCAGCCAAACTTCCAAACCTTCAGCCAAACTCCCAAACTTTCAGCCAGACTTCCAAACCATCAGCCAAACTCCCAAACCTTTAGCCAGACTCCCAAACCTTCAGCCAAACTTCCAAATCTTCAGCCAAACTCCCAAACCTTCAGCCGAACTTCCAAACCTTCAGAGAAACTCCCAAACCTTCAGCCGAACTTCCAAACCTTCAGCCAAACTCTCAAAACATCAGCCAGACTTGCAAACCTTCAGCCAAACTTCCAAACCTTCAGCCAAACTTCCAAACCTTCTGGCAAACTTCCAAACCTTCAGCCAAACTTCCAAACCTTTAGCCAAACTTCCAAACCTTCAGCCAATCTTCCAAACCTTCAGCCAAACCGCCAAACCTTCAGCCAAACTTCCAAACCTTCAGCCAAACTCCCAAACTTTCAGCCAGACTTCCAAACCTTCAGCCAAACTCCCAAACCTTTAGCCAGACTCCCAAACCTTCAGCCAAACTTCCAAACCATCAGCCAAACTCGCAAACCTTCAGCCGAACTTCCAAACCTTCTGCCAAACTCCCAAACCTTCAGCCAGACTTCCAAACCTTCAGCCAAACTTCCAAACCTTCAGCCAAACTCCCAATCCTTCAGCCAGACTTCCAAACCCTCAGCCAAATTTCCAAACCTTCAGCCAAACTCCCAAACCTACAGCCAAACTTCCAAACCTTCAGCCAAACTTCCAAACCTTCAGCCAAACTCCCAAACCTACAGCCAAACTTCCAAACCTTCAGCCAAAATTCCAAACCTTCAGCCAATCTCCCAAACCTTCAGCCAAACTCCCAAACGTTCAGCCGAATTTCCAAACCTTCAGCCAAACTCGCAAACCTTCAGCCGAAATTCCAAACCTTCAGCCAAACTCCCGAACCTTCAGCCAGACTTGCAAACCTTCAGCCGTACTTCCAAACCTTCAGCCGTACTTCCAAACCTTCAGCCAATCTTCCAAACCATCAGCCAAACTTCCAAACCTTCAGCCAAACTTCCAAACATTCAGCCAAACTCCCAAACCTTCAGCCAGACTTGCAAACGTTCAGCCAAACTTCCAAACCTTCAGCCAAACTTCCAAACCTTCAACCAAAGTCCCACACCTTCAGCCAGACTTCCAAACCTTCTGCCAAACTTCCAAACCTTCAGCCAAACACCCAAACCTTCAGCTAGACTTGCAAACCTTCAACCAGACTTGCAAACCTTCAGCCAAACTTCCAAACCTTCAGCCAATCTCCCAAACCTTCAGCCAAGCTTCCAAAACTTCAGCCAGACTTCCACACCTTCAGGCAAACTTCCAAACCTTCAGCGAAACTTCCAAACCATCAGCCAAATTTCCAAACCTTCAGCCAAACTCCCAAACCTTCAGCCGAACTTCCAAAACTTCAGCCAAACTCCCAAACCTTCTGCCAGACTTCCAAAACTTCAGCCGAACTTCCAAAACTTCAGCCATACTCCCAATCCTTCAGCCAAACTCACAAACCTTCAGCCAACGTTCCAAACCTTCAGCCGAACTTCCAAACCTTCAAACAAACTCCCAAACCTTCAGCCAAACGTCCAAACCTTCAGCCAAACTTCCAAACCTTCAGCCAAACTTCCAAACCTTCAGCCAAACTCCCAAACCTTCAGCCAGACTTGGAAACCTTCAGCCAAACTTCCAAACCTTCAGCCAAACTTCCAAACCTTCAGCCAAACTCCCAAACCTTCAGCCAGACTTGCAAACCTTCAGCCAAAGTTCCAAACCTTCAGCCAAACTTCCAAACCTTCAGCCAAACTTCCAAACCTTCAGCCAAACTCCCAAACCTTCAGCCAGACTTCCAAACCTTCTGCCAAACTTCCAAACCTTCAGCCAAACTCCCAAACCTTCAGCCAAACTTCCGAACCTTCAGCCAAACTCCCAAACCTTCAGCTAGACTTGCAAACCTTCAGCCAGACAGGCAAAACTTCAGCCAAACTTCCAAACCTTCAGCCAATCTCCCAAACCTTCAGCCAAGCTTCCAAAACTTCAGCCAGACTTCCACACCTTCAGGCAAACCTCCAAACCTTCAGCGAAACTTCCAAACCTACAGCCAAATTTCCAAACCTTCAGCCAAACTCCCAAACCTTCAGCCGAACTTCCAAACCTTCAGCCAAACTCCCAAACGTTCAGCCGAACTTCCAAACCTTCAGCCAAACTCCCAAGCCTTCAGCCAGACTTGCAAACCTTCATCCAAACTTCCAAATCTTCAGCCAAACTTCCAAACCTTCAGCCAAACTTCCAAACCTGCACCCAAACTTCCAAACCTTCAGCCAGACTTCCAAACCTTCAGCCAAACTTCCAAACCTTCAGCCAAACTTCCAAACCTTCAGCCAGACTTCCAAGCCTTCGCCCAGACTTTAAAACCTTCAGCCAAACTTCCAAACCTTCAGCCAAACTTCCAAACCTTCAGCCAAACTTCCAAGCCTTCAGCAAAACTCCCAAACCTTCAGCCGAACTTGAAAACCTTCAGCCAAACTCCCAAACCTTCAGCCGAACTTCCAAACCTTCAGCCAAACTCCCAAACCTTCAGCCAGACTTGCAAACCTTAAGCCAAACTTCCAAACCTTTAGCCAAACTTCCAAACCTTCAGGCAAACTTCCAAACCTTCAGCCAAACTCCCAAACTTTCAGCCAGACTTCCAAACCTTCAGCCAAACTCCCAAACCTTTAGCCAGACTCCCAAACCTTCAGCCAAACTTCCAAACCTTCAGCCAAACTCGCAAACCTTCAGCCGAACTTCCAAACCTTCAGCCAAACTCCCAAACCTTCAGCCAGACTTCCAAACCTTCAGCCAAACTTCCAAACCTTCAGCCAAACTCCCAAACCTACAGCCAAACTTCCAAACCTTCAGCCAAAATTCCAAACCTTCAGCCAATCTCCCAAACCTTCAGCCAAACTCCCAAACGTTCAGCCGAATTTCCAAACCTTCAGCCAAACTCGCAAACCTTCAGCCGAAATTCCAAACCTTCAGCCAAACTCCCGAACCTTCAGCCAGACTTGCAAACCTTCAGCCGTACTTCCAAACCTTCAGCCGTACTTCCAAACCTTCAGCCAATCTTCCAAACCATCAGCCAAACTTCCAAACCTTCAGCCAAACTTCCAAACATTCAGCCAAACTCCCAAACCTTCAGCCAGACTTGCAAACGTTCAGCCAAACTTCCAAACCTTCAGCCAAACTTCCAAACCTTCAACCAAAGTCCCACACCTTCAGCCAGACTTCCAAACCTTCTGCCAAACTTCCAAACCTTCAGCCAAACTCCCAAACCTTCAGCAAGACTTGCAAACCTTCAACCAGACTTGCAAACCTTCAGCCAAACTTCCAAACCTTCAGCCAATCTCCCAAACCTTCAGCCAAGCTTCCAAAACTTCAGCCAGACTTCCACACCTTCAGGCAAACTTCCAAACCTTCAGCGAAACTTCCAAACCATCAGCCAAATTTCCAAACCTTCAGCCAAACTCCCAAACCTTCAGCCGAACTTCCAAAACTTCAGCCAAACTCCCAAACCTTCTGCCAGACTTCCAAAACTTCAGCCGAACTTCCAAAACTTCAGCCATACTCCCAATCCTTCAGCCAAACTCACAAACCTTCAGCCAACGTTCCAAACCTTCAGCCGAAGTTCCAAACCTTCAAACAAACTCCCAAACCTTCAGCCAAACTTCCAAACCTTCAGCCAAACTTCCAAACCTTCAGCCAAACTTCCAAACCTTCAGCCAAACTCCCAAACCTTCAGCCAGACTTGGAAACCTTCAGCCAAACTTCCAAACCTTCAGCCAAAATTCCAAACCTTCAGCCAAACTCCCAAACCTTCAGCCAGACTTGCAAACCTTCAGCCAAAGTTCCAAACCTTCAGCCAAACTTCCAAACCTTCAGCCAAACTTCCAAACCTTCAGCCAAACTCCCAAACCTTCAGCCAGACTTCCAAACCTTCTGCCAAACTTCCAAACCTTCAGCCAAACTCCCAAACCTTCAGCCAAACTTCCGAACCTTCAGCCAAACTCCCAAACCTTCAGCTAGACTTGCAAACCTTCAGCCAGACAGGCAAAACTTCAGCCAAACTTCCAAACCTTCAGCCAATCTCCCAAACCTTCAGCCAAGCTTCCAAAACTTCAGCCAGACTTCCACACCTTCAGGCAAACTTCCAAACCTTCAGCGAAACTTCCAAACCTACAGCCAAATTTCCAAACCTTCAGCCAAACTCCCAAACCTTCAGCCTAACTTCCAAACCTTCAGCCAAACTCCCAAACGTTCAGCCGAACTTCCAAACCTTCAGCCAAACTCCCAAGCCTTCAGCCAGACTTGCAAACCTTCATCCAAACTTCCAAATCTTCAGCCAAACTTCCAAACCTTCAGCCAAACTTCCAAACCTGCACCCAAACTTCCAAACCTTCAGCCAGACTTCCAAACCTTCAGCCAAACTTCCAAACCTTCAG